CTGATCCTGAGTCCCAGTCGCTCTAAGTGGCTGAGGAGGAGGGACCTGTGGGCTATTAGCTCGGCCTCTGACTGTGCTAAAACGAGCCAGTCATCGAGGTAATTCAGGATACGGATTCCCATCTGTCTCAGAGGGGAGAGGGCCGCGTCCATGCACTTCGTAAAAGTGCGGGGAGCCAGAGACAGCCCGAAGGGCAGGACCATGTATTGATAAGCCACTCCCTCGAAGGCGAATCTCAAGAATCATCTGTGATGGGGGACTATCTGGATGTGAAAGTAAGCATCTTTTAGATCCAGCGAAAAGAACCAGTCCCCTGGGCGGATTTGCGATAGAGGAGCTGCTTCAGTGTAGTCATTCTGAACGGCCGTTTCATGAGGGCACGGTTCAGGCATCTGAGATCGAGGATGGGCCGCAGGCCGCCATCCTTTTTGGGGACGAGGAAGTAACGGCTGTAGAAGCCTGACTCGCTCTGAGCTGGTGGAACTGTTTCTACGGCTCCTTTTGCCAGCAAATTCTTTACCTCGCAGAACATGAGTGTTCCTGCTGTGCACTGAGGTGGAGACAACGCCGTTGAACTGCAGGGGTCTTCGAGCGTATTGAAGTGAATAACCTCGTTCTATAATCCCCAGAACCCAATGAGACACTCCGGGTATGGCCCGCCAGGCCTCGGCCCGTGTGATAAGGGGTTGGATTAATTCGGGTGGTGAGTCGCCGTGTGGGGACTCGACACTCATGATAACTGGAAGAGGAAATTTGCTCTCTTTTTGAAAATGTTTGTTTTTTTATTTTTCTCGCTATCACAGCGGATATGTGTGAGGGTGCTTTTAGAACGGGCCCGTGATTCACAACAATTTCTCGAACAAACATACTGCCACTGGCACCCAGAACTGAACGGAGTGCTTGAGGGCACGACAGAGGGTGTTTCGGGGGTGGTCCGGCGCTTGTGAGACTTTGCCCCTTCCTCTTCCTTTCCAGCGGATCAGGAAGACGCCGGGGGTGCAGGGTCGAAGTTCAGCTTGGGCCAGGGTCCTTGGCGCTTTGGAAAGGGATAGCGTCTGGCCAAGTGGGAGCGCTGTCGGGGCTCAGGCTTTTGAGAAGGCTGAGCGGGCGACGGCGCAGCTTTAGCTGGCTGCTGTGCTGGAGCAGGCTTGGGGTGACTGGTGGCTGTTGCAGAGCTGGAGCGTTTCGGCAAGAAGTGTCGCATGGCCTGGGATGACTTCTGAGCCATGGTGAATTGCTCTGCAAATCCCTTGACAGCAGGTCCAAACAGCCCCGTGTGGGAGACCGGGGAGTCGAGGAAGGGAACCTTGTCAGCCTCCTTAATCTTGGTGAGGTTTAGCCATAAGTGGCGCTCCAGCACCACTAGATTGGCCATTGACCTCCCTATGGCCTGTGCTGTGGCCTTGGTAGCCCTTAGACCAGGTCTGTAGTGCTGTGCAGCTCCCTGAAAGCTGCGGCATCAGGTCCTGACTCATCCATGGCCTGGAGGAGTTTGGCCTGAAAGACCTGGAGCACAGCCATGGAGTGTAGAGCTGAGGCAGCCTGCCCGGCGGAGGAATACGCTCGTCCAGCGAGGGCAGAAGTTGTCCTGCAAGGTTTGGAGGGGTGAGCGACCTTCGCTTTCCATCCAATGGCAGTGGGTGGGCAAAGGTGCGCAGCCACTGCCTCGTCGAGAGGAGGCATCCTCTTGTAACCCTTTTCTTCAGCGCCGTCCACTGAGGAGAGAGCAGAAGAAGAGTTAGAGCGAAAGCGGGCTGAGTAAGGAGCACGCCACGACTTCGTAAGCTCATCATGGACCTCCGGGAAAAATGGAGAGGCTCGCTGACGAGGGGCCTGGCGGGAACCATTCGTCCAGACGGCTATGAGTGGGCTCCTCTGGTGTAGACCACTCCAATCCCAGTTCCTCAACTACCTTAGAGAGGATAGGGGCCCGCCCCTTCCCTTCATCGTCTGCCGAGCCCAGTGACTCTAAGCCAGGGATGGATGCCGAACTTTTCAGCAATAGAGCCCGACATCTCCTCCGCATCTGATGCTATTAGAGACATGCTGTCATCTAATAGCTCGTTCTCTACGGGACCGAACGAGACCATGTCGCTCGCATCAGCCGAGGGACGCTGGTCTGCTTGATCAAAGAGAACGAGAGAATCCTCTCTGCTTGGTGGGGGCGAGGCGTGCGGGATCTGGACCAGCACGAGCTCGCTCATGGCCTAGCGCTTAGTCCCTTTGCCCCGCTGTTTTTTCCTCACAGATCCCTGGGAGGAAGTAAACAGGAAGGCGTGAAGGGAGGATTCGCTCTCTAAAAAGAAAGCGATCTGAGCGCGCAGAGTGGCGAGACTCATGTTCACACAATGTGAACAATCCATCTCGGTCAGAGCGGCTTCCGCGTGGGGCTTACCCAAGCAGGAAATGCACTCTGAGTGGCCGTCACCATATGACCACGACGTGCAATAACTGTGCGCCATTTGAAACAACACCGGTGCTCTTTTAGTGAGAAATTTGCTTTTTTAGGCTCGCCGGATGGCAGCAGGGGACGAGCTGGCGTCTACGCTGGTCGCTGAGCAGCTCGAAGAGCAGGCGGAGCGGTGAGAGGGCACAGAAGAGACAGCAGCTTCAATCCGCAGCGAGGAGTTTCTATGGTGAGCGTCTTCAAGTCCTGAAGGTCAGCGAAGGGAAGATCAGTGCACAGAGATTTGAAACAAGGCCGCTACTCTTTTAGTAGCGAAAATTTGCTTTTTTAGACTCGCTGGATGGCGGCAGGGGACGAGCTGATGTCTGCGCTGAATGCTGAAGGCGGCTCGTAGAGCGGGCCGGAACAGCAGAGAGGCATAGAGGAAAAGGCAGCTTCTGTCCGCAGCGAGGCGTGTCAACGGCGAGCGCTTCAAGTCCCGTAGATCAGCGAAGGGAAGATCGTCGTCGCTGAAGGAGAATTGATCTGAGATCCTATGGCGAAATGCCCGCTTATATAGCCAGATGGTCCCGCCCATTCTGGTGGGCTCTGGCGGGCTTCACCGCCATAGGCTCCTGCAGCACCGCTGCAAAGCCATTGGTTCGTTTTATAATCACTGCACGAACCAATGGCCGTGCAGTTACACTGCGTGATTGAATAAGTCTTCAGTCCTCTGAGAAAAAGGTTTTTCTCCATAAGCGTCTAGCGACGCAGTACGAGTGAAGTATCGATAGGGAACAAAAGGTTCTTTGGCCAGTTGCTGGTCTTCAGCCATTTCGGCCTGTGAAATTTGAGGCCCCTTTTGTCCATGCACTCATCGAGAAAAATGTCCATATTATCCTTAAATTGGATTTGGAAAGCCATTTCAGCCTGTGAAAGCTGAAGAAGAGCTTTCTTCTGGTCTTCCTCTTTCAGTTGGAGGAACCTCAGCTCTTTCACCAAACCTCTGAAGTAGAGGACTGTTTATTTAGCTCCCGCTATATATTCACTCTTTGTTCACCCGCTGTCCGCTTAGAATAATTGTATTCCTGACCCGACCGTTCCAGCTAAATTTAGATCTCGTTTCCAGAATCTCACATTTAAATAGGCTGAGATAGAAAGAGAGAACACACAAAATTGTATGTTATTTTATTCATCTTCTCAAGAGTCTTGAATTTATTGACTTTGACCTGAATTTATATGAATTATCTTGACACAAAATTCGTTTAACATTTAATGCAACACAGTAGGAAAAAAAGTGTCAGAGAAAATAAAAATGTTGTACAAAAATTTTATTATTTTTATTCGTCTTCGTTTAACATTGACAACACAATAGGGAAAAAGTGTTGCAGAGAGAGAGAGAAAAAAATGTAGGTTGTACAAAAATAGCCTATTAGCTATTTTTATTCGTCTTGTCAAAATACTAAATTCGTTTGACATTTTTCTGTTAACAGAGTAGGAAAAGTGTCGCAGAGAAAAATAAATAAATACCACATCTTTCATTTAAAATTATAGGCTAAGCAAAATATAAACAAAACCGAGTTGAACGTCCTTCAAGGACAGCGCATCCACACTTTGCTCCATCCTTATTCTGCTCTGTCACTCATCGACAGCCTGCCTGTTCTGTCTGAGGGCCGTATATTTACCACCGGTACAGCCTGCTCTGAGCATCGTTATGCACATGCTGCGCACAGACCACGCAAATAAAATGCGTGATGTTTAAAGCATGCGTGCAGCGCGTGCATAACAGTCCTGAGCGCAAGCTGTAATAAGAATAAAGAGCAGATATGCTGTTCTAAATGGACGTCGGGAAAGGGATATTGTTAGATCACCCGCTCCCGTTCAAATTACACCAGAGTTACCGACCGCTACCACGTTTTATTCTGGAATTTAATCCCGCGGCGCAAAAATTCCGGTCGGGTCCCGCGGTTCCCACGGGAATGCACACCTCTACTCTTAAGACACAGAGGTTTTCTCTGCAGCCATCCAACTGCAGTGTGGAAGTCTTTTGTTATCCTTGGCTCCTGAATGAGGTGTACAAACAAATGGAATGAAGTGTTGGAAATACCTTCAATAATACTGTGCATTCAATAGCACATAATACTAAAAAGTCAAGAGCTTTAGGATGTAGCAAGCATTATCAAGTTTTGATTGTTTTTTTTGTTTTTTTTCTCAAGTGCCCCTGTTTGAGATATAAAAAACATACCCTGCTGTAGATTTCAGTCTCCTGCTCTTCCGGCACTTGCACGCAGTGAGGACATGTTTCCTGCGAAAAAATTATGGTAATTTGTAGTCTGCTGGACAGAGAATAACGTAAGCGAGAAAAAGATACTGCATAACAGTCCTGAGCGCAAGCTGTACCGGTGGTCAATAAGAATAAAGCGCAGATATGCTGTTCTAAAAGGACGTCGGGAACGGGATATTGTTAGATCGCCCGCTCCCGTTCAAATTACACCAGAGTTACCGACCGCTACCACGTTTTATTCTGGAATTTAATCCCGCGGCGCAAAAATTCCGGTCGGGTCCCGCGGTTCCCACGGGAATGCACACCTCTACTCTTAAGACACAGAGGTTTTCTCTGCAGCCATCCAACTGCAGTGTGGAAGTCTTTTGTTATCCTTGGCTCCTGAATGAGGTGTACAAACAAATGGAATGAAGTGTTGGAAATACCTTCAATAATACTGTGCATTCAATAACACATGATACTAAAAAGTCATGCGCTTTAGTCAGGATGTAGCAAGCATTATCAAGTTTTGATTGTTTTTTTTTCTCAAGTGCCCCTATTTGAGATATAAAAAACATACCCTGCTGCAGATTTCAATCTCCTGCTCTTCCGGCACTTGCACGCAGTGAGGACATTTTTCCTGCGAAAAAATTATGGTAATTTGGACAGAGAAAAATGTAAGCAAGAAAAAGATACCTTTCAACAGCAAAATTTTCCAAGAGAATGAGGCAGCACCATTTTAGTATTAGAGGAAAATCAAACTGGCAAATAAGGAAAAGCAAATATGAATATATCATCAAATTGAATTAAGTCCCATTTATCTTTTTAAACAACAACTTACAGCTGTGAAATCAAAGGGCAT